AATTAATAAAATATAATTATAAAAAAAAATATGCAAAACAATCTCTAGAATTAGCCATTTTATGTCATAAAACTTTAAAGGGTTTTAGAAGTTGTTTATTGAAACAAACCTATAGCATGAGCTCCATATTAAAAACAGAATCCTCAAAATAAGTACTACTTATGAAGTGCTCCACATGAAGTTACTATGGGTCAGAATTGACTTGATGCCAACTCGAAGGTTTAGTTAGCATTTACAAGTTAATTTAAGCTTAATACCTTATTTCGTTTTCACAACATCCTTGTGTGTTAAGGAAACATGCCAAATTTGTGGTCATTTAACACATAAAGAATATGAGGCTCTGTGAGGTGAAGTAACTTGCTCATGTAAAAATCGGCAAGCAATGACTTCAATACCAGGCACAATGATTACAAAATTCTATGTTCTGTCTATTCCAACAGGCTCATCTGCCTTAAGTATTCAGCCAGATCAGAACACTTCACCTCTATCCTGCTATACTTAGTGCTTCAACATATGCTGGTATTCTATTTGAGAGAGTTCTCCAACAAAGAAACTGAATGCATTTAGTAACAAATTTGCAAAATTCTTCATAGCTGGTAACACTGTAAGCTTTGGAGAAAATTTTCAACAGTAAATAAAAGAGAACTCTATGATATGTTCAATTATTCAAAGAGCATAACGTATTTTTTACCTATCTCCTACTTATATTTTAAATGGTAAGAGACTGAAAATGAGAGTTATGTCAACAGATTACCAGAGCACCTCACCTCTATGGTGGGATCATACTCATCTACAAAGTGGTTCTGGATTAGTTGGATTGTCAGTGCACTTTTCCCAACACCACCTGCTCCAACCACCACCAGTTTGTATTCAGTCATTTCACACCAGCAAGAACCTGTGGAAGGCAGCAATTAGGGTTTATTGATGAGCTTCATCTCTAGTACTTCAGAGATTTAACTCATTACTTAAAATCAAGTTTGAAATATACTGGTTCCATACATGTGGCCCTCTACTCGGTTCTTAAAGAAATTTAAGAACGCAAAACCACTTGTATGTTTGTCTAGGGCATCACAGTTTTTATTTGGAATCATAATTCTATTCACCGCTACCCTCGCCTATTTTTCAACACTACGGGGCCCCGCCCTCAACCTACGGTAAAAGAAACCCCTTTCGTTCCTACTTTGCCCACCAGTCTTTCCAACTAGTGTGTGGACAGCCTCTAGGCCGCCTCCGTTTTTTTGATTCTTCCCACTGCTGTCTTCAAATATATGAGTGCACAAAACCAAGGACCCCCGCCCAGGACCTTTGTTTCCAGGTCGCGGATTCCGCACGGCCTCTGGCCATTACGAGACGCCTCTATGCTCAAAGTCTGAAGGTTATAAACACTCAGGTTTTACCTCAAGCTCTGCTGCCTCCGCTTCGTATAGATTCAGGATCACAAGCGGGAAAAACGTTGGAGACCCCGGAACCGCCATGAACAGCCCCCACCAGGGAGCGGCACTTCCGGCCCCGCCCGCTACGCAATCAGCCTGCGCCTCGGGCGCTAGAGTCCCCGCCCCAGCCACGTGGGTTTCCAGCCGAGCAGTCACGCGGCAAGCCCCACCCGGCCCCGCCCCTCCCGCACGGGCCGTTTCCGATAATGAAAGCTCTAGGTGCTACCGTTCTCAAAAATCAGTAAAACTTTATTCGCTTCCATTCTTTCGCCATTAACAGAAAACTGGAGAAAGCAAAAATGTTTGTGTTTACAAAGATAAATGGCCTTTATACCCAGAGATCAAAACCTCCAACAATGACGGGGAAGATATAGCGCCCTCCCCCGTACCCCCTGAGCATCCCCTTGTCATCTTTCGACAAAGCTTTCAGTCCACTGGCCAGGGTCCCTTTATGTGGCCAATTCAAGAAGAGGGCCAAGGAAATCAGACCAATCCATTCACGTGATATCAGGTCAAACCAAAGCCGCACAAAGGATCCAGTGCCTTTACAGGGCACAGGAACTCTGTGACTATTTAAAAAGAAAACAAAAAACCCCAAGATTCATTTCAGGCACAACTTTTTTTTATTTTTTTGTTTTGTTTTGAAATCAGTAAAAGAAACTGGGTCCTAGAAGCTGCAGTGATCTAAGCAGCAGCAAATTTGTGCATCTGTCCGTTGTTTTGTT